TGATTTTCAGGTAGTCCAATGATTTTTAAATTGTCTCTCCTGGATCGATTTTCCAGGTTGGTTGTTTTACTGATGAGGTATTTTATGTTTTCATCTATTTTTTCATTTTTTTGTTTCTGTTTGACTGATTCTTGCTCTCTCATAGAGTCATTAGTTTCCATTTGTCCAATTCTAGTTTTTAACAGATTGTTTTCTTCTGTTAGTTTTTGTACTTCCTTCTTCAATTGGCCAATTGTGTTTTTAGGGACTTGTTTTCTTCAGTGTACTTTTTTTCCAATTGGCCAATTGTATTTTTTAAGGACTCTTCTACCTCTCTCATTTGACTTTTAAAATCCTTCTTGAGCTCTTCTAAGAAGGCTTTTTGGGCTTCAGACCAGTTCATATTCCTTTTGATGTTGCAGATGTGGGTTTGTTGACAATGTTGTCCTCTTCAGAATTTCTGTCTTGATCTTCACTCTTCTCATAATATGAATCTATGGTACATTTCTTTTTACTCATGGTTTCTTTATTCCCTGGCCTTTAAAGAGATTGAGCTCTCCTGCTGGGGAACAGAGGGCACTGACCCAAGCTTCTTGTGTTGGGAGCCTAGGTCTTGGTCACTGGCTTTGTGTGCTGGGGCCTCTTATGTTGGCAATTGGAGGCTGTAGGTTCTGGCAGCTTACCTTGTGTTGGGCTGGAATCAGCAAGGCTGGAACTTTCAGGCAATTCTAGGTTGCCTGCTTTTCCTTTCCTTTAGCTTTCTTCAGCTCCTTTTAGATGGGTGCTGCAGGGTGTTTATCTGCCTGGGGCCCCTTGCAGTGCTGCCTCCCTCGTTTCTGCTAATGCACTGGGAGATTCCTTTGTGGTAGAGTGCCGAGGCACCTGGTGGTTTTCTGAGCTGGTTTCCACCGGTTTCCCCACCCTCACTGAGGCACTCGGAGGTCCAGGTGTTGGTGTTTGCCTGCTCTACCACCTGGGCTTCAGGATCTCCTCCTGGTTGACAGTTGGAGGCTGTAGGGTTCTGACAGCTTACCTGGTGTTGGGTTGGAATCAGCAAGGCTGGGACTTTAGGAAGACTCTAAGTTGCTTTCTTCAGCTTCTTTCAGATGAATGCTGCAGGGTGCTTATCTGCCTGGGGCCCTTTGTAGTGCTGCTTCCTTTATTTTTGCTGAGGCACTGGGAGACCCGTTTGCTGGGCTGCTGCACTGCTGTTCCCCATCTTTCTTCTAGTTCAGCTGTTCCAGGTTTTTTTTTTCTGGGGTGATATTTTCTGGGTTTTCAGAGGTTAATAGGGGAGGGTGAGAGTGACTACCTTTTTGCTCTGCCATCTTGGCTCCTGGAAGCAGAACTCCTTTGCAAACTTTAACGCACTATATAAATCCTAGCTGTTTAAGATATTTGTAATTTTGTTGGTTTTCAATGAACAAAAATCACTTTACTCTCCCACTTTCCCCAATGAAAAAAAGAAAGAAAAACAAAACCTCTAGAGGAAATATGAATAGTCAAATACTAGTTGCCACCACCACCACCACCACTAATAATAATAATAATAATAATAATAATAATAATAATAAAGCAGCTTCCATCACCCAACCTAGAAAGAGTGAGTGTTTATCAACATTTCCAAATCCTTCTTGCTTCAGTGACATTCTTTTCCTCATTCGTAAAATGGGAATCATGATGCTCGTATTACCTACCTCTCAGGGTTGTGGTGACGGAAGTAATTTGCCAGCCTTAAAGCACTATATAAATATGAGTTGTTACTGTCGTTCATTTCCCACAGCTGATGAAAGACTTTGGCCCCACAAAGTTAGACAAATCACTGGCCGTGGTGCTGACACTGCCAAGGTACTGTGTGCTTCCAGCATTTTATTACTGCAGGGAAACAGACTGCCCAGACATCACAGCTGTTACTACCTAGGCTAGACAGCAGCTCTGCCCTATCCTGTATGCAAGGCAGGTAGGTAGACAAGACCTATCAGACTTCACAAGGGAACTTGACCTCTTGCTGTTCATCATTCAGACTCAGCCTCCCTTCCCCTCACCCTCACTCCTTTCCTTTGCTGAGGGTCTTCTTCAGAGTGGTAGCTTGACTTTGCTAGCTAAGGAGCCCTGTCCCCACAGTGTCTACTGGTCAGTCCTGGCATTCTTGGTGTGGAGAGTTGTGTATAGAAGTCCTGTTTTTAGCCAAGGCTGTTTACATTGGTCTAGGGTAGGCATATGTTACTCTCCTTGTTTCTGGAGAACAAAGTTTTCTTGTAGGACTTTCTTGTCCTGTGTGTTTGACTGTGAGATACTGGAAGGAATGAACTGGTGCCTAACTACTGAGGGGTTGATGTCCTAGGATGAGCTTTGCCTTTCAAACCAGTCTTTCCTTAAATTGCCGCCTGAGTTATGACATTCTAAATCTCCAATCTTCCCTACCAGTAGAGAGAGTATAATGAGGGGAGGGGAAGACATCAGCTGTCATAACAGTCATAAATCTAAATGTCACTTTTGCACTTAATGCCTTCATATTAGTGTGAATAAATGAATGAATGAATAAGCATGTATTAAGTGCTTACTATGTGCCAAGTGCTGGAGAAACAAACACAGAAATGCAATGAGAGTCCTGGCTTTCTAATGCATTTTAATGAGGGAGATAACCCAACAGCCCCAGGTTCACAAGCTCAGTCCTCCTTTCCCCACTTTTGTTCACTTTCTTTTTTTTTTTGGCAATTGGGGTTAAGTGACTTGTCCAGGGTCACACAGCTAGTGTCAATTGTCTGAGGCTAGATTTGAACTCAGGTTCTCCTTACTCCAGGGCTGGTGCTCTATCCACTGTGCCACCTAGCTGCCCTTTCATTCACTTTCTATGTGAATCAGTTGTCAGATTTTGTTTCTACCTTCCCTACATCTCTGCTCAACCTTCTCTTCACTCACACAGCCTGAACTATGACATTTAACCTCTAATCAGTTACCATACCTCATCTGTCTCCTCCAGTCCATTTTCCACATAGTGATTTTCCTAAAATGAAGGTCAGACCATTTCACACACACACACACACACACACACACACACAGATGACCCTCAGTTAAGCTCCAGGGGGTGCCTATTACCTCCAGGATAAAATATGAAGGGGCACTTAAAGGTCTTCACAACCTGGCATACAGGGCAGGCAGGTGGTGCAGTGGATACAGCTCCGGACCTGGAGTCAAGAGGACCTGAATACAAATCCAGCCTCTGATACTTACCAGCTGTGTGACCTTGGGCAAGTCACTTCACCCTGGTTGCCTCAGTTTCCTCATCTGTAAAATGAGCTGGCAAAGGAAATGGCAAACCAGTCCAGTATCTTTGCCAGGAAAACCCCCAGTGGGGTCACAAGGAGTCAGACTAACTTGACTAAGCAATAAATAATCAAGTACCTTCCTAACTTTCCCATATTCTTAACTCTTTTCTCACCTCCACATACTCTACAACCCTAGCATACTGGCTTATTTGCTTTTTCCTGGCACATGACAATCTTCTCCCATCTTGGCACCTTTGCTGTGGTTGTCCCTCATGCCTGGAATGCTCTTCCTCAGCTCCACCTTTTAATTTCCTTGGTTTCCTTCAAGATTCAGCTCAAATGCCATCTTCTACAGGAGACCTTTGTTGGTCCCCTCTCCCCCCACCCAGGCAAAATCTTCCCCACTTTGGGCCTCAGTTTCCTCATCTGTGAAATGAAAGGGTTCATCTTGATGTTTTCAAAGGTTCTTTCTTGATGAAAAACTTCTGTGATTCTTCTGATCTAATTTTTACCCCAAACCTTTTTTTCATCTGGACTGAAATCTCATTGATCTCTGGATTTCACAAAATCTTACAGACTCTTTTTTCATTAATAATTTTTTAGTTTAGTCTCCCCAGTATTTATTTCACTTCTATTCTTTATTTGAAATCATTACCATAGGAGGATTTAAACTTGAGTAAGCAGAGGTTTATCTCTAACTTTTATAATTTTAATATTTCTAAGGGTAATTGGTGATTTTCTTTTATCTTTAGACTGTTTCATCCATTACTAAGCTGTTACTGCTAAAAAAAAAATGGGGCCCCATTCTACTGTGGCATAAGGTGAGTAAAGTGTGCTTCTTCAGGGAAATAAGTAGATGGTCTCAGTTCAATCAAATGATCTTCCATTGAAAGAGGGTTTTACCCTCTTCACCTTCTGCTGGTCTAGATTGGCCAGTTTCACCAATTCATCTTCACTTTCATTTTTTGTCATCAAGAAATCTTTTAATTACCCTAGAGATAAAAGATATGACTTCACACCAGCTGTGGCTCAGCTTCATCATTCAGTTAATGCTCCACAGATTGATAGCATCATAGTATGTGAAAATATAACAAAAAGTTGATTTTGACAAGGACAGCTCAGTTTGGTAGAATGTAAAAAAAGAAGTTAAAAGTACTCCTCAAGGCCGAGATAACCCTGGTTCAAAGTCTGGCTTTGTCATTTATTAGCTGTCTGCCTCTGGACAAATCCCATGAACCCCTCCTGGCCTCAGTTTCCTCATCCATACCATGAAGGTTTTGGACCAAGTAACCGCTACAGTCCTTTCCAGATCTGAATCTGAGACCCTGTGTTCTTGTCTAATGAGGAAAACTAATGTTCCCATCTCAAACATCACTTTTCTACTTGCTAATAGACATATCACTTTTATTTCTGTTGAAGGTTGCTAGGGGGCACTGTAGATGGACCTCTGAACCCTGGATTCAGGAAGTTCAAATCCTTTCTCAAACTTATGAGTTGTTAGAACCTCAACCTCATTCTGCCTCAGTTCTCTCATCTGTAAGGTGGGAATAATGATATTACCTATCAGATGGAGTTGTTAAGAGGATCAAATGCATTTTGCAAACCTTAAAGCATGATGTAAATACTAGTTATTCTTTTTCTTCATCTCAAATGGCATATGAGTTTATGGCTTTTCACTTACAAATTCTGTAGCATTTAATATACCAGAGTGATAACTTCATCTCCCATGTTTAATTTCTCTTTCTGACACAGGTATTCTTGGCGCCACCAATTACGGGAATTTAAAAGTGAATATCGAGTCGTAGCTTTGGATTTGAGAGGCTATGGAGAAACAGATGCTCCCTCTCATCAGGAGAGTTATAAGTTGGACTGCATTGTTATGGACATAAAAGATATTTTAGACTCTTTAGGTATGTGAGCAGCATTGTTATAGATATGGTTATAGGTAGCATAATTCTTTTTGCTAAGTGAGTCATTAGTGTGAACAGGAATTTAAAGGGGACAATTAAATTTGTCTGAAAGAATTAGATGGTTTAAAAATAGTTTAGAGGTCCTCATTTAAAAACAAGTATTTTCATTATTCATTCATTTAAAAAACAGTCCCCATGGAATCTTTATTTAGCAACATCTTATTAGCCTAGTTTAGCAAAAGGACCACAGAGTTCATTTGGTCATATAATTTTTCTGAGCCTCAGTTTCCTCATCTTTAAAAAAAAATGATAATAACTGTATTACCTACCTCACAGCATTGTTGAGATAATATATGTAAAGCACTTTGCAGACCTTAATGAACAATATAAATTTGAGCTGTTATTTAATTTAGCCTCAACATTTCCCAGATGAGGAAAAAGAGACCCAGAGAGGGAAAGTTATTTCCCTGAGGTCAAAAGCTAGTAAGTAACCAAGACTTGAACCCAGTCTTTCTGACTCCAAGTAATAAAATTGCATTTCTTTAAAATAAATTCTATAATGATCTGTATGTACAAAAGCATTTATAACAGCTTTTTTGGTGACAAAGAAATAAAAATTAAAGGGGTGCCTACCAATTGGAGAATGAATGAACAAATTATGGTATATGAATATAGGGAATTCTAGTGTGCCATAAGAAATGAGGAAAGGAATAGGCTCAGAGAAACCTGGAAAACTTGGATGAATTGATACAGAGTGAAGTGAGCAGAACCAAGAAACAATTTATACAATAATAACACCATCATAAAGACAAATGACTTTGAAAGACTCAAAGTCTCAGATCTATGCCATGATTGGCCACGATTTTAGAGGCCGGATCTATGCTCCCTGCCTCTTGACAGAGATGTGATCGATTCAAGATGTAGAATGAAACTTACACTTTTGGACTTGAACGGTATGGCAATTTCTTTGGCTTGACTGTTCATATTTCTCGAGAGGTATTGGGTGGTAGGGAGAGAAAATAAATGCTTCCTTACTGAAAATGTAATAAAATGAAAAAATAAAATAAATTCTATAATTCAGGCTTTCCTGATTCTCACTGGCTTCCAGGAGGTACAGTGGGTAGACTTGGGATCAGAAAGATCTGAATTCAAATCCTGCCTTAGAAGATGACTAGCTCTGTGGCCCTGGGCAAGTCACTTAGTCTTCCCTAGACTCAGTTTTCTCCTCTGTAAAATGGTGGCATTTGACTTGGCCTCCAAATTCCTTTCCAGATTTAGATCTATGACCCTATTATCCTCCCACCTACACCTATTCCCTATTAGTTGAGACCAGTGGGTTTTATTTTTTTATACTCACTGGAGAAACAAATGTGACTCTCACATTTAGAGAATTATAAATTTAAACTTAAATACGACTTGCTGAAGTAAATAATTGTTATATTCAATGCAGACTCGATACCCCCACCAAATTAATGAAACTAGGACCTTGATAATATTCTTGAACATGATGGCAGAGCATTTTTCAAAGCCATGTCTACTAAACTAGCTAGGTGGCACAGTGGATAGAGTGCTGAACCTGGAGTCAGGAGGACCTGAATTCCAATTCAGTATCAGGCACTCAGCCACTCTGAGACCTTGAGCAAGTCACGTGACCTCTGGCCACCTCAATTTCTTCATCTATAAAGTGAAGATAATAATAGCACCTACCTCACAGGGTAGTTGTAAGAATAAATGAGATATTTGTAAAGTGCTTTGCCAGCCTTAAAACATTATATCAAAGCTGCTTGTTATTACTAGAACAAGGAGGGATCAGAAGGGCAACTATATCATATGAAGTAAAACCAGAATGCCGTTCATGAGGGTAGAATAATCTCTCTCTCTCTCTCTCTCTCCTCTCTTTCTCTTTCTTTTCTCTGCCCCCTCTCATTCTCTTCTTTCTCTCCCCTGATATATACATACACTATATATATGTATGTACATATGTATGTGTGAATATATATGTGTGTATATGTGTGTATTATGAACATATATGTGTATGTATATATATATTTGCTCTCTTTTCAGGTTATAGCAAGTGTGTTCTGATTGGCCATGACTGGGGAGGCATGATTGCCTGGCTCATTGCCATCTGTTATCCAGAACTGGTGACCAAGCTTGTTGTGATTAATTTTCCTCACCCGAACGTATTCACAGGTGAGTTTTACAAGCCTCTACTTGTAAGCTTCCGTGTTTATGTAACAAATGAGCCCAAGTTGATGGAAATGCAAGAGTAGAAATTTGCACCCACCCTGTAGTTATATACCATGCAGTTACAACCAATTGATTCATTAGCCTGACAAGCATTTATTAAGCATTTCCTATGTGCCAGACACTGTGTATGGTGGTGGGTGCTGGGGATACAAAAACATAAGTAAAACATGAAACAATTCCTGCCCTCGTTGAGTGCATGAAAGGGAGAAATACATTCTGAAGCTGGAAAGATAGGTTGGAGTCTGGTTGCGAAGGTTTTCAAAACGGCATAGGAGTTCAGATGTGATTCTATAAGTGAAAGGGAGCCAGTAGTTTGGGTGACATAGTCTTAACTTTGTTTTGTTTTTTTTAATTAATTTATTTTGATTATTAACAATCACTTCCATATGTTTTTGAATTTAAAATTTTTCTCCCCCTTCTTCCCCTCTACCCTCCCCAAGATGGCACACAATCTGTTATAGGCTATACATTTACATTCCTATTAAACATGTTTTCACATTAGTGAAGTTGCAAGTAAAAATTAAAACCAATAGAAGGAACCATCAGAAAGAGGAAACAAAACTCAACAGAAGGGGAAAAAAATGATAGCGATTCAACTTCCATAGTTCTTTCTTTGGATATGGATAGCATTTTCTTTCACGAGGCCTCTGGAGATGTCTTAGATCCTTGTAATGCTGAGAAGGGTTCAGTTTAACAATATTAGTCATCGCATAACGTGGCTGTTATTGTGTACAAAGTCCTCTTGGCTCTTCTCACTTCAGTCAGCATCAGACCATATAAGTCTTTCCAGGTTTTTCTGAACTCAGCCTGTTCATCATTTCTTATAGCACAATATTAACTTTGTTTTAGAAGTATCACTTTGACAGCTGTGTAGAGGATAGATTAGGGCAGCTAGGTGGCGCCATAGTGCACAGAGCCGATGGCCTGGGATAAGGAAGACTCCTCTTCATGAGTTCAAATTTAGCCTCAGACTCTTACTAGCCGTGTGACTGAGGGCAAGTCACTTAGTCCTGTTTGCCTCCGTTTCTTCATCTGTAAAAAGTGACCTGGAGAAGGAAATGGCAAACCACTCCAGTATCTTTGCCAAGAAAACCCCAAATGGGGTTACACAGAGTTGGACGTGACTGAAACAGCTAATCAACAGCAACAGAGTAGAATAGAGAGGAGAAAAGCTTTAGACATGAAGCCCGACCTGTTGCAGTGGTTGGTGTGAAAGGAGAAGTGGATTTGGATCAGATGTGAGTAGAGATAAGCGGTCAAATGAAAAAGATACAAGACTTTCCAACCAATCAAATATGGAAGATGAGGGAGAGTAAAGAGCCAGGGAGAACTCTCAGGCTGCGAACTTGGGTGATGAGAAGCATTGTTGCCCCCAATGTCAGTGGGCCAGTTCAAAAGAAGAGTGGGTCTGGACGGAAACATAATGGATTCTCTGTGGATATGTTGACTTTGAGATGCCTTGGGAACATCCCTAACAGGAAAATCAGGGTTAATAACAATCTTAGAGGAGCAAATCTTAGCATATTTCCTTATGTAATTTACATACACATGCACAAACCCTTTAAGCCACTGTTTTGCTTATTTAAATGGAAGGTGAGGATGGAAAATGCAGGCGGAAAGGATTGTGTAATGACATTGGTTTGACAATAGTGAGCTGTGGCAGCTATGAAACTAATTTGCCTCCTGGCTGATGGCTATGGCTGTCAGTAGTGGCAGCCCACTTCCAAAGAACTCTGAAGCTGTCATAAGAGGAGCTGAAAGAAATAGGAATAGTGGCTGAGCTCACTTATACGTACTTTTAGCAAATAGGGTTTATTAAACTTCCCATCCTTTCTGCTGGCTCTTACCAAGTTTTTACCAGTTCAAGTCCAGCCAAGTCAGCACACATGTATTAGGGTTTACACATGTGCCAGGGAGCAACTGGGTGGTACAGTGGATAGAGCACTGGGCTTAGTATTAGGAAGACACATCTTCATGAGTTCAAATCTGGCCTCAGACACTTCCTAGCTGTGTGACCTTGGGCAAGTCACTTCACCCTGTTTGCCTCAGTTCCTTATCTGTAAAGTGAGCTGGAGAGGGAAATGGCAAGCCACTCTAGTATCTTTGCCAAGAAAACCCCAAATAAGGTCATGGACAGTTGGACACAGCTGTAAAAATGACTATACGTGCCAGGCACTGTACAAAGTACCAGATGGTAAAAAAAAAAAAAGGCAGATAGTCTCTGCCCTCAAGGAGCTCATAATCTAAGTCTAGAACTCCTCTTACTATGGGAAATGGGGGGCTTTGGGAATGTGGAAATTGTGCACAGAAAAATCATCTTGAATTTCTTTCCTTCTTTAAAATAAACCAGAAGAGGGGGAAAAATGGAAATTTTCAAGGGTTGGGGCAGGGGAGAGATGGGGGAATATATCTGATTAACTACTCTAGAAATGATCCCTGAGTGTAAATTTTGCTACATTATGAGCATAAAATTTGAGTTATGCAGATATCCAGCTGTCCTAATGCTGCAATATTGGAAGTAGAACCAGGGAATCACAGAAGCTCTGAGTCAGAAGGTACGTCAATGGCCATCCACCAGGATCTATAACTTGGGTTTTTAAAAAATAATGATTTTTAAGTGAGGTCAACTAACATTGATTAAGCGTCTGCTATGTGTACTAAGTAGGGCACTGTACTAAGTAAGCACTTGAAACCCTATTTCACTATAACTGGTTTCCTTTGTGATCCTCTGTATTTTATTTTATGCATTTAAGAACATAATTCTGAGAAGGAGTTAATAGGCTTCCTCAGACTGCCGAAAAGGTCCAGGCCCAAAAGACGGCTAAGAACCCCTGAAGTCCAACCCACACTCACAAGAATCCTTTCCCCTTTTGCTTCAAGACCACCAATGAGGGAGAAGCTGTCACCTCCCCAGGAAACCCATTTCATTTTGGGATGATGCTAATTGTTAGGAAGCTTTTCCTTCTACCAAGCCTAAATTAGTCCCTCTGAAACTTCTTATTGTCCCTAGTTCTGCCCTCTGGGGTCAAGCAGAACACATCTAATCCTGCAATCAGATAGCAGAGAATTCGAGTTTTAGAACTGAACTACATTGACAGTCATTCTCACAGGCCTTTTCACCCGTAACTTTGTATTGAACCATCTACATGTTGGCCCAGTTTACCCAGAAGTCTTTTTTGCTCAGTTTATTCTGCCAGAGAGACAGCTAGCTGATCAGTTCAATTAAAATGACAGACGGCGACGTTTCCAGAACTCTTCTGTCAATAAGAACTAGGCGACAGCCTGAGTCAATATGAGCATCAAAGGAAATGTTCAGAAATCTATTTCTCCCTGCAATTTGCCAACCGTTCTATAATTCTATGATGCCAATCATTCTATTATTCTATAATGAAGGCAGCTGAGTGCTGTAGTTGACAAAACGTTGGACTTCAAGACAGGAAGACTAGATTTTAAATTCTGCTTCAGAGACTTACCTAGCCATGTGACCCCAAGCAATTCAGCCTCAGTTTTCCCATCTGTGCAATGGGGATAATAATAGCCCCTATTTCACAGGGTTGTTGCGAGGAACAGAAGAGGTCCTGTATGGAAGATGCTTTGTAAACCTTACAGAGCTCTGTAAACGTTACCTACTAGTATACTCTCTCCTCTTAATTACGGTGAGATTTCTAATCAAATAGGTCTTCTTGCTAAATAGAGATTTTTAGGGAAAAACTTAATATGATAATGCCCCACCTATCCAAATCACATTTCTGGAAATTTCATCTCTTTGGAATGTAGCTGTGAACCCAAAAGTAAGCAAAAATTAATTGTCGCAGTGGCCTCTGAGTGTTGATAAAAATAGCTGTGCCAAAGCCCGTGTACTTAGTACCAGACGACTGATTGAGATGAGAATATTGAAGGCAATGAACACACAAGAACAGTTGCAGAAAGGGATAGCTTCAAGCACAAGGGACAGAAGTTTAAAATGTCCATGTCTGGGGCTTGCTGTGTTAGAACGCTGTATAATAATTGACCGTGGATTTCGAGTGAGAAGAGGCCTTGAGGTCGCTTAGACGGGGTATGTCAAACATTTCTTGCACAGCCCAAGCACCTCATATCCAGGGAGAAGGTTCCACAGGGGAGAAAATCCTAATCCACGATCTTAATTTTAGAGAGAAAGGTCCTCAATTTATCATTCTAGCTACACAAAAATGTGAGCAGGCATGAACACAGTCTCCAGCAACTCACATCAATCACATTCAGAAAGGAACTATAGCAACCTGCAGTTATAAAACTCCTAAATAGCAAATAGATCCTTACATTAGTTGTGACAAGGGGTATAGCACTTATAAGCTAGACATTATGGTTCCAGAATTAGAGGCCCGAGTTCAAATTCTGTTTCTGAACACTCACTCCCTGTGTGGTCTTGCCAAGTCACTTCCCCTCCATGGTCCATTTTCCTTGGACTTTTGATTCATCTATAAAATGAGAAGGTTTGATTAGATGGCCTCTCAGTTCCCTTCCCACTCTCCATCTTTCATCCTATGATACTATGGAAACCTTTTAAACAATCACAACAAATAATTACCTTCCCATATGTCCCTGGAGACAGTGTTGAGTCAGCTTGACAGTGAACTTAAGAGGTGGAACTCAGCTTTCCTCGGGCTGAGGCTCACACTGCATGAATTTCAAGGATGACACTGTATAGACTAACATGAGACTGGGCAGTATCTGACCTTCCCCTCCCCCTCCCCTGCAATATCTGAACACTACAATGTGTATCCCTGATTTTCTCAGAGGTTTTTGTGAATTCTTTGAACGTCTAAACATACTGCTGTTAAAGAGAAGTGTAAAAATGTATCACTAAGACACTTAACAACAATGCCCTTTTACTTTTCTTATGATCCAGACAGTGGGACCATCTTGATGAATCCATGAGAAACCTTTATTAAGACTTCTTGTGTCCAAAAAACTACACTAAGCCCAGAGAAACAAATACACATAAACCCTGCCCTCAAGGCGCTTATATTCTAATACAGGGAGACTGCACAGATATGAGACCAGAGTCCAGGGAAGAGTGTTTTAGTTTGGGAAGTCACATGGATGGTGAAGGGTGCCATTGGGTGGTCCATTGACAAGCCCTTTCCAGAAGCAGCAGTAGCTCCAGAGCAAGAGGTAGGAATTTGGGGTGAGTGTAAAGAGTATATGCTCAAGGCAGGGAAACGGGCAAGAAAATGGCCAGGTAGGTGGCTGGCTAGGATGAGAAGCATCACCATGAGACCTTGAGATCACCGTGGAACAAGGCCATTTTGACATTTCATTAACAAAATCTAGGTGACCCCTAAGTAATGAAGTGGATAGAGTGTTGGCTATGGAGTCAGGAAGACACAGATTCCAATCCTGCCTTGAATACTTGCTAGCTGTGTGACCCTGGCCAAGCCCTTTGATCTCTTTGAGTCTTAGCCTCCTCATCTGTAAAATGGAGATAATAACATCACCTACCTCTTCAGGTTGAGATAACATATGTAAAAGCACTTTGCAAACCTTTAAGCGCTATATAAATGCTATTTTTATTTTATTATTGTTATTTTTTAAATCCCTTCAGGATATGGTCTGAAATGGACGTACTGCATATTAAATTCCTCTCTAGAGCAAAGAGCATTATAATAAAGTTCTAGGATTTGCTGTAAATACTTTGTGTATTTATGCCTGTTCAGGGATTACCCATAATAACATCTCTTATTTATTAGCACTCCCTAAAAGTCCATTTATATCCCCAGCACCTAACTCAGTGCCTGGCACATAGTAGGTAGTTAACAAAGACCAATTGATTCATTAACTTCCTTATAATCTTAACTCAGTTTGTCTGCCCAGTCATTTTTTCCCAAAAATCATCAATTTTCGCTTTTAGTTCCTGGTCATTTTTGTTTCAGAATACATCCTCTGGCATCCTTCGCAGCTGATCAGATCTGGTTACTACTTCTTCTTTCAAATGCCATGGTTTCCAGAATTTATGTTCGCCATAAATGACTTCAAGGTGAGCTTATGAAAATGTAATTATTAACATTCCTGAGAAAGATTTTAATCAGGGGGCAGCTAGGTGGCCCGGTGGATAGAGCACTGGCCCTGAAGTCAAGAGAACCTGAGTTCAAATCCGGCCTTACACCAAACACTTGACACTTACTAGCTGTGTGACCCTGGGCAAGTCACTTAACCCCCATTGCCTAAACAATTTTTTAAAAAAAGATTTTAATCAAATTTGGTCCTTAAAAAATCAAGCCATGGGCGATAGGAAACTTTACTATATGATCTAAAGATTTCATCTTTCTAATTGCTTTGCTTATTTTCCAGGTTTCTGTTTTCTATATTTTAGGCAATAGCCCTCATTCTGTAGCATTCCATGCCTCCATTCCTGACTCTCTGCATCATGCAGAAAGCCTTTAAAAACCTGTCATTAATCTAGACATTTGGTATGCACTGGCATTTGAACTGCCCACATAAAAAGCCAGACCCTGTCAAGTTCATTTTGGGGGAGGAGAAGGGATGGCAAGGAGGGCAGGAGATGGTAAGAAGAGAGACAGAGAAAGAAGTGGTCTTGGCGGGCAAAGGTATCCAGAAAGATGATCACCAATACTCTTGTGCATAGCACACTGAAATGATTCCACCATTTCATACTTACAAACGTAAAGTAATTAGGCTTAAAACAATTCAAGAACAACATAAAACATTATGCAATAAAGTGTTAAATTGAACAAAATCAGTAAGTACCCTGTACAGTCAGTGGGGGGGATAGTAAATATTGATTGGAATTATCTTTTTCAGGAGCTTGCCCAATCCATCATTCTTTCTCTCTTTCATTTTTTAATCAATCCCTATTTACTAGGTCTTTCCCAGCCTATAAACATGCCCAAGGATCTACTGTTCTTTAAAATTACTCATTAGACCCTTATATCCCTTCAAGTTTTGTCTTGTATGTAGCCTTAGGAGTCTGGGGATCCTTATTTCAATTCTAGCTCAAACTGGGAAATCAAGTCTCCAGAATAAGGCTACATCTCCTTCAGAATTCTAGGGGTTCCCCTGAGAGGTTGCAGGTGTCCTTCTTTAAAAATATTTGACACCCCACTGTGTTGTGTTCCTCCCAACATCAACTTCTAGTTATGATTAGTATCTCCCTTATATCATCATCATCATAGGTAGCATTTATAGTGTCTACCATATGCCAGGCACTGTGCTAAGTTGCTTTATAAATATTATTTCACTTGATCCACACGACAACCCAAACCTGGCTTGCAATTATTATTTTACAGTTGAGGAAACTGAAGCAAGCAGAAGTTAAGTGGCTTGCCCAGGGTCACACAACTAGTAAGTGTCCAAGGGTGGATCAAATTCAGGACTTCCTGGCGCCCGACCCAGGACTCTATCCATTGTGCCACCTAGCTACCTCCCATCATCAGTATCATCATATCCTCAACTCCCTAAAGTGATTTAAGCCCCAGAATCATTTAACCAATCAACATTAATTAGCTTTTACAAAGGGATATTTACTGAGAAGACAGAGCAAGAACAGAAGTCCAAACATTTGCCCCCAGTCTTCTGGGGGCACACTCTCCCCTCTATAGCCTCAGTCCTTAATAAATGGTTATCGCTTGTCAGTTTGCATTTTCTGTTGTGTCAGAGTCAGGAAGGTCAGTTGGGACTTCATTCCTCCTGGGGCTCAGCTGTCTACAAAATCTGGGATGGACTTCACTTTCTGGATCTCTGGCAGCGAAGATCTCTGGATCTTCTCTCTTGCCCTCTGGTAGCTCACAAGGTCACAGCCTAGAAGATACTTCTTTCCCTTAGAAACAACAAAAGCTGTACTCTTGCCTTTCTCTCAACAACAGCAGGGCTGTGTGTTCCCTGTGGCTTCCCAGGGACTAGCTGGAGGTCCGTCTCCCACCCACAAGATTTTCCCAGTAACTCATCTTCCAAGCACACCACAGAGAGGGGAAAAGGACCCCCTTCCTTGGGTGTCTTTTTTTTTTTAATACTACCCCAGTTCCATGTTAGCAGAGGGGCAAAAGTCTCTCTTTTTACCCTGTGGTTAGCCAGCCTGGCACAGAATAGAGCTGCCCATGATCCAGAATCCACATGGGGGACTTAATTCCCCCCAAGCTGAGCTCAATGCTCATGTTCATCAGAGCTGGGCTTGGTGTGTTCCTAGGTCTTTCTCCTCAATTTAGTGACCAAACATGGAGTGTTTTCTTCACTTCTTGAGTCTACTACCCCATCGCTCACTGCTCAACCCATTTAGATCTGGCTTTTGAATCTACCTGCTCCAATAAAATGGCTTTCTCAAAAAGTTATACATGATCTCGTAATTTCAAATTTTACTGGCCTTATCCCAGCCTTCCTGACCTTGCTTCAGTATTGTTGACTCCCTTGCACTCCTCTCTGGCCCCATCTCCAGTCCAGCATCCCCAGCTGGAAATCTCTGCCTGGTTGTCCCATCTCTTCATCCTCTATTTACCATGTATCTGGGTGTCCAAGTTTGAAAGCTCAGCCACCCTTGACTTCTCTTTCACCACCTACATCCAATCCCTTGACAGGTTTTGTTAATTCTATTTCCACAACATCTCTCACATTTATCCCTTTCTCTCTCAAACTGAAGATCTGTCACAGTAGTTCAGGCTTCATTACCTCTCATCTGAACTATTTGAATAGCCCTCTAATTAGCCTCCCGGCTTTCAGTCTTTCTTTCTTCAAACCATCCTCCACATAGCTGCCAAAACCATCATCCCAAGATCAAGGTCTGGCCACATCACTCTCCTACTCAAAAGCCTTCAGTGGTCCCTTTTTGCCTCTAACATAAATTTCAAATCCTGTAGACTCCCTATAGAAGACCTACAAAATTAGTGCCAATCTCCATTTTCAGCCTTATTTCACATTATACTCCCTGTCTGTACTCTTTGTTCAATACAAACTAGACTACTAGGTGTTCCTCAAACTGAATATTCCATCGCCTTTCTCCATGTATTCATCTTGGAATGTACCCCCTCCTTACCTCACAGTGACTGGTACTGAGTAAGTGCTTAATAAATGTTTATTGAAGGAATGAATCTCTATGCCTTAGATTCCTAATTCTTTTTTCAAGGGCTGGTGTGATAAATGAAAAACCACTAGAGACAGTTTCTGGGTAATTAATAATCAATTTATTAATTAGGCTAGCCAGGGTCAGTAGTTTCTCTCCATAACCAAAGATGCTTAATGGAGATGCTGAAAGCTTTAAATCCCTTCTGAAAATGAATTCCTTTGACAAGTGAAAATCAACCCTGATTGGTGAACATTTATTGAGGAGGTGGGCTAAAAGTCTTCAGCTCCTCCTGCTGAGAATATGGCTTGATCGTGAGACAGCCACCTCCAGCAATCTGGACAGGGGAATCCATCCTAGACCACTCTGGTTGGCTTTCTCCTTCATGAGCTGGCTCACCCTAAACTCTAATGCAGGGACCCAAACACAGGGGCTCATTTCCCCAGAGTAAGAACTCACCCAGTCTGGATTCTGTTTATACAAAAAGTTGGGCCTCCTAGTTGGGTGGGGTCCTCCCAAGATTGAAGAACATGTTTTTTGAGCGCTAAGAGCAATCAGTCATGTCCTTCAGAGACTGACTTTTTAACAAGAGCTGAGCCTTAATAAGTAAATGGAGGACAAAAGCCTGAATCCTAATTTAATAATTGGTTATAATATGATAGTAAAATAATTTCTCCTATCTGCATCCCGCAGCTACTAATGTTTTCTCCTTTCTCAACTATTCCTAGAGCTCTCATCACACCGTATCTTATATTATACTTAACCATTTATACACTATATCTCCTTAATAATACGTGAGTTCCTTGAGACCAGGAACTGATTCCTTGTATCCCCAGCACCTAGCAAAATCTCCTTTGCATATAGCAGCTGGTTAATAAATATTGGTTGAATTGAATTGAATCAGGCAAAGTTGCATGGTGATGGGCCTGCTAGAATGTGGGTGCACACATGGGAAAAGTAGCCCGAGCAAAGACATCAATGAATATGGGGCGTGTGAGGATGGTGAGAAGATTGACCTGCCTAGAGGAGGGGGGACATACTGGGTAACTGCCCCTACCTCAACCTTCCATCAGAAAGCAGCGATTGAATTTGTGGAACAGCATATTAAGGACTCACCTTTTCTCTACCATAGGCTCTGAAACATTTATTTACTAGCCAGAGGACTGGCATTGGAAAAAAAGGGTGCAGATTAACACCAGAAGATCTCGAAGCTTATGTTTATGTCTTTTCTCAACCTGGAGCACTGACGGGCCCAATTAACCATTTCCGAAATATCTTCAGGTCAGTGTCTTTTGGCCAGACAAAATATTCCGGTTGAATTCTGGAGATCCAAGGCTTCATCTCAAGGACAAGAGAACAGAATGTCAGGTTTTTCTAGTCTTTGGAGGAATCCAGTTGCGTGGTTCATTTGTATGCTTTGCTTTTTGTATCTGTGTGTCTTTCACTAGAAACAATGAAAACTTTATGTTTGTGAAATTCAGTTATCTTATTTATTTTTGTCCAAGGGGGTGGGAATTTACAGCTTATTTGTCATGAAGGGAGGAAACTCCAGTTTGTGCCACTTGCTGCTAACAGTTGGGGGAAGTCATATAAATCTGCATATTTTCCATCATGTGAAAGGAATGATTTATATACTAATTTATGGGGGGAAGATCATTGGTATTACCATGAGGTCATCACTCCACTCCTTCCTGTGTTATACAGCTTGGCTGTACAATAGCCAATCAACTAACATGGCATAAGATAGACGTTTACTTGAACAGAATGATATTATTAGTAGAACAAAATTCTAGGTATAATGTGAAAAGATATTCAGCTTTGTTAAAAACATAAGAAATTTTCTGAGTTCAGATGTTCGTTTAAAAAAATCTCAGAGATTATTTACAAGCAATAAAAACTAAATATAGTTATAGGGCAGCTAGGTGGTACAGTGGATAGAGGACCAGACCTGCAGTAAGGAAGCTCATCTTCCTAAGTTCAAATCTGACCTCAGACACTTAGTAGCTGTGTGACCCTGGGCAAGTCATTTAACCTTGTTTGCCTCAGTTTCCTCATCTGTAAAATGAGCTGGAGAAGGAACTACTCCAGTATCTTTATCAAGAAAACCCCAAATGGGGTCTCAAAGAGTCAGACATGACTTAAATGACTGAATAACCACAGTTATAGGGAAACAGATCAAAGCTCCCTTTCATCCCAACATTCAGGAGTTCTTATATATCTTTTTTTTTTAAAGTAAATGAATCTTCTTAATAAATTATCTAACTAGAATCAAATTTAAATTCAGCTAACCACTAAGAGTCAGGAAGACCTGATTTTGAATCCTGTCTTAGACACTAGCTATGTGAATCTAGAGCAAGTCCCTTAACATCTCTTGGTCTCAGTTTCCACATCTGTAAAATAGGGATAATAATGGCACTTACTGCACTGAATTATTTAAAGGCTCAAATGATATAATACATGCAAAGCACTTTGTCACCCTTAAAATCCCACACAAATGTTAGCTCTTATGATTTCCAGGATCCTTTTTTAGAGAATCTTAATAGATTGAATACACAGGTTGTTTACCAGGAGAGCATTATGCTGCCTCATTAGAAAAGATGGTGTCTTAATTCTGAGGATGTGCTGTAAGCCCCTGTGTCTTTTCTTCACAGCTGCCTGCCGCTAAAGTATCATAAGGTGACCACTCCAACATTGCTCTTATGGGGAGAAAGAGATGCATTTATGGATGTGGAGATGGCCGAAGTCACAAGGATTTATGTCAAGAGCCATTTCAGGCTAACAATTTTGTCTGAAGCCAGCCACTGGCTTCAGCAAGACCAACCTGACATAGTGAATAAATTAATATGGACATTTCTTAAAGAAGAAATGAGGAAAAATGAGGAATTTTAAGGACAAGTGAAAAGCCTGTAACAGCCAAAAAAAAATGTGAAAGGGACTGACTTTTTCCAGCATTCTGTTTAGGCTTTATTAAGGAAGACACTGTTTTCATTGTACCGTATTATGACTCTGTTGCCATGCAGTTGTTTCACTATGTTGAAAAAAAGATTATGTAAGACTGTATAATGTGGATGTGGGTTTTTTTTCCTGTTCTTCTGTTTTGCACATAAAATATCTGCCTTAAAATATATTTACTTATGTAAAAAAAAAAGGAATTGTGGGAATTGGATGAATTTTTTTAAAAGCGTCTTCATTATGTTAACATGTGGTGCCTTTTACAAGTTTAAAATGAGAAGATCCAAGTGTGCCATATGAAAAGACAGTTACGTGATGGTGTCAATTTTCATTTTATTGAGGGAAAACTTTGGTTTGTTCTGACTATTTTTTTAACCATTAAAAAATCCATTACCAAATCTTTGGGTCTCATGGCATGTTACCATGTTAATCTGAAGACAGCTATGTTTAGCGGTGTTTATGTTCTTTAAGAGAGTTATGAATACTTCCTTGTACTGTGAATTTCTTACTATCAAGCAGTGATTTGTGGAAGTTGGTTTCACATGTCCCAATAACTGGTAGAAAAATGGAGATTTCTATATAGAATTTATTTATATGTGAATGCTGTTCGTTCAGGCTTGCACCCTAATTTTAGTTGTGGTCATTAGCTGAAGTGAAATATACAATATTTTTACAATAATATAGTAATATATTTACAATAATATTACTTGCAATAATAATATTGTAATATATTTACAGGTCATATAATTATGGGCAGCTAGGTAGCTCGGTAGATAGAGGGCCAACCCTGGAGTCAGGAAGACCTGAGTTCAAATCCAGCCTCAGACACTTGACACTTACTAGTTGTGTGACCCTAGACGAGGATTTTAATCCTCTTTGCCTCAGTTTCCTTATCTGCAAAATGAGCTGGAGTAGGAAATGGCAAACCACTCCAATACCTTTGCCAAGAAAACTCCAAAAGGGGTGACAAAGAGTCAAACACGACTGAAAGTGACTAAATAACAAGATAACATTCACAATAATATTATTCTTTATATTTCCATGTAGTCATCTTAAAACATCTAAAGTTGAAAAAACCATGGAGGAGGGAGAAGCATACACATAAATTATTCATCCTATTTTATCCATTTAAATAGCCACAACCCACAAAAGACTCCCAATTCCTCTGCACACGGGGGTGTTCAATAAAACAAGTATTTTATTGAGTGATATGTGTAGCAATGTAGGGAAACACAAGTCTAAGGCTCTGCTTTCAGAAAGCTTGAAATACCTATGGTTAAGGCCCAGAGTGAGGATTATAAAACAAAGTGAAGGTTGCCCAAACTCTAAGTGGCGCTCCTGTGGCAGGACAGAGCACCAGAAACGTTGGGCCAATGGCCATGGTAATGGCTAGCCAAAGCATAGCTAGAATGTTAAATAATCCCTTATAATCATTGCTAGCATTTATCTAGAATTTTAAGGTTCCCAAAGTGCTGTACATAGAGTATTTCATTTGATCCTCACAAGTCTGGGAAGTCAATACAAATAAATTCCCATTTTATGAATGAGGGAGCCTGAGGCCGAGAGAGGTTATGGCCTAGGGCCATATTGCCAGTAAGTATCTGAGACAGGATTTGAATTCATGTCTTCCTAACTCCAAGTCCAGCACTCTAAGCACTGTGTTTTGCATGGTTAAAGATAACCAAATCCACTTGAATAAGATTCATCATGCCACAGTGCTAATTCTTATGGGAAGATGATGAGAATCACCCAACCCAGTACTCTCACGAGTATTCAAGTGATGGACATCAGATTTCTTTTCTCTGCTTAAGAGATTATGGTACCCACGTGGCTACATCTACTTTTTATTAGTAGCACTCCAACAGAGCCAAAAAAAGCTATACTTCATAATTAAGGGTTTGGCAATGTGCTCATTCTATGGAAATGGAGGTAAGCCAGCAATTAACAAATACAGGCATATTGTAACAACAATTTGTGTTTTTAAATAAAATAATAGTGATAGCTAATACATGTAGCGTTCATTACGTGCCTGGCACTGTGCTAAACACTTCCTCATTTTTATCTCATTTGATCCTCACAACAACACTAGGAGGGAGGTGCTATTATTATCTACATTTTACAGATGAGGAAACTGAGGCAAATAGAGGTTAAGTGACTTGCCCAGAGTCATACAGCTAACAAGTATCTGAGTGTCTTGAACTCAGGTCTGCCAGACTCCAGGTCAGGTGTGCTTTTATTATTCTAAAAGGATTTCAAGTTTACAAAATATTTTGCTCACAACAATGTTATGGGGCTGTGAGGCAATGGTGCATAGTGGAAAGTGCCCAGGACCTAGAATCAGTAAGTATTGGGTTCAAATACTTGCTGTGTGACCATGGGGAGGTCATTTACTCATTCTGTGACTCAGTTTCCTCTTCTATAAAATTAGGAGGTTTTACTCAGGGGCATCTAAATTTCCTTTTAGCTCTCAATTTTTTATCCTATTGTTGTTCACATTTTGCAAATGAGGAAACCAACATTATATGATTAGTTTAGAGTCATTTAATCAATATCTAGGCCAGCAGTTAATCCCAGGCCTCATGACTCCAAGACTGGTACTTTTAACATGACATTGCACTGTACCTGTACATAAGAAGTTTGACTCATAGCCCCTTTGCTTATATACCTTCAAAATCATTTCTAGACTATTGGAGCCAAAACCACCAAAGGCAGTCGTACTGGCACTCCATTTGCATTCAGCAAACCTTGTGAAATACTCAATAAAACAATCTTGTAGGCTCTCAATGGGCCCAGCATCCGTGTGGTGCAGACCCTGGGCATAAATTGTGTTTTGGGCTATCTTCAGAGTCCATTTGGATTGCAGCGTGGCTGATTTAAATGACTGCATTTATGTGGCTTGCAAAATGGGAGAGAGGATCCTTTGGCTAGATGTGTCTGATGGGATGGATATAATCTGATTCTCAATGCTTCGAATCTCATAATTTGGAAGAGTATGTGAATGGATAGAGGTATAGACTGACTGGTAGCATGGAAGGGTACGGAGTGCCTCTCTCCTGCATTTTCTTATTTAGGCTACGTAGCACAAAATAATATATGGGATAGCACTTTAGTCTAAAGTCTTTGTTCCCATAGGAATGAGAAATGCTTATCAATACTTAATCAGTATTCTGGGAAAATAATATTCTGCATGGAAATCTTACTATATCATTCTTATTGAAGGTCTAACCAGTTTCTGGGGCAGCTAGGTGGCGCCATAGTGCCTAGGGTGCTAGGCTTGGAAGCAGGAAGACTCATCTTCATGAGTTCAAATCTGTCCTCAGATACTTATAAGCTATGTGACCCTAGGCAAGTCACTTAACTCTTTTTGCCTCAGTTTCTCATCTGTAAAATGAGCCGGAGAAGGAAATGGCAAATCACTCTAGTTATCTTTGCCAAGAAAACGCTAAATGAGGTCATGAAGAATCAGACACAACAGATCCATCACAACAAGCTAAACAACCACAAACCAGTTTCTAACCCATTTCCCAGGCCTCTCACCCATCATTAGCCCAAGAAGGACTCCTCCCTGAACTGATTTAGGGTACCTGTCTTTCTGATTCCTTTAGTCAAGCATCTCGCCTTTGACAGGTAGGAAGCAAAATCCTTAGAAGGAGTGGTTGAAGAAAGATTGAATATTGTTAAGAAAATTGTTCTCTAGGGTGTGCTGACATTTGAAATAATTATTGTTCTGAAACTGTTACCTAAATTCTAAACTTGACTATGGAATTTTGTCTTTCGTTTGAGAGTATTATAAATTATAACTCCAAAGATGGCTTGTGTTAGATTTTCAAAGGTATAAGGACTCTGTCCATTTTTGGATCTTTTTTTCCTCTCTCTAAATTCAAAATGCTTAGATTAGAAAGTTTTAATTAATAAAATTGTTTCTGGAAACCTTCTGCCTAAAACATAGAGCACGGAACTTTTTTCTGCATGAGTTCTCAGTTATACTCAGGAGTGCTGGTAAATGTTTTAACAACCAGCTCTCCAAAAACACTTTTAAAGTTAATCTGCATTATTAATATTTTCTCCATCACTTTCTTAAGTCCAGGCAATCAAAAAAATAATAAACCAAGTCCTGATTTGTAGCTGGCGAATGGGATGTCCCAGTGAAGGCTTCTCAGTGTAATTAAGGTTTGGGATAAGACTATCCTAAATCTGGTAATGCGTTCAGGAGGTAGGATAGGGTCAAGTATAGATTTCTGTAAGTTTTTTTTTAGTGCCGTATAACAGTAGTTAAAATTTGTTTAGTTGTTTAGCCTTAGCCTGCCTTTCAATCTTATTCAGATGCACCTTTGCCCCTCACCCTAAAAGAATCTGGCTCCTGTTTGTCTACAGGCCCCAGAAAACCCTTCAAAGGTTCCTTATCTACTCCCCTTATCTCCCTTTGAAAGGACTTCACTCAGATGCCTTCCAGTTCCCTCCATTATCCATTCCCATTGTCTGTTCAATCTCTCAGACCTCCCAATACATTTGCAAACTATCTTTCTGTCATGAAGGCCTGGCTCCACAGTACAATGTCTAGCTTGATTGCACATTTTTAATTGCTTCTTTGACATTATCTCAAACAAACTAAGAAATATAGAGATGTATACTATTTTCTTTGTTCTGTGGTAGAGTCTTGAGTCTGAGATTGTGAGCTGAGTAACCGAGTGACGGACAGCTAGTGGGAGGGGGAATTTACCCGTTAGGACTATTTAACCCGGCTTTCTGCTTCTGTGTCTTTGTTTCCCCTCATCAGAGCATACTAGTGGAGGGACACCCAAATCTTGAGATTTGAAATAATAATAATAAATTAACTTTCCGTTTCTCTTTGGATAGCTCTGTGTTTTGTTTTTCTAATTTGAGTGGCATCCCATACACTGGTATATGTGCTCACACCACAAATTTAATGAGCTGACTCTAGCACACCTCACCCCTGGCTATGCCTCTCTCTAAACTGTAAAAAGCTCAATCGATCAATTCTTGTCTTCAGTCTTTTTAAAGATCTGGATTTACCAGCAACCCAAGCAGCCCACAGTCAGTAGATCTATGGTCCATTCCTCTTAATTAAAAGCTGGCAGTTTTTGTTCTATTATCATCATTAGGAGAGGCAGCCTGGGCTGGACAGTGGGCTGGACTTGGAGTCAGAAAGACCTGGGTTCAGATCTTCTCTCTCTCTGGAGCCGCGTGATCTGAGGCCTGTCGGTGGTAGGTACCAACCAAAATGCCTCAGCTAGTACTTCAGGCCATGTCTCCTCAGCTGTCACAATGACTAAAGACACAGAATAGAGAGTTGTTGGCACTTGGCACTGTCAAACGACTGACCATTAAGAACTGATATGGTTTTATTTATGGAAATGATACTGTCAACCCTTCAAAATGCCGAGGAGTCCAAGCTGAATTAAAAGCTGAAAAGTTTTATTAGGAGAAAAATAAGACACTAGTGTCAAGGCACCAGCCTTGAAAGTTCATGCTTGAAAACCACAAAGAGGAGGTTTGGGGAGGAGTTAGGGTAAAGAATGAACAGTCTTTCTTACAAATAGGTGGGAGCCAGAAGCAGGATATTTTGTAGGACCAGTTGACCACAAAGTTGGTTTGGGCCGGTTTGAGATGCA